GATTAGGTGATTAGCAAATAAAATCACGAGATGATCAACAAAATCTAACCAATTACAATGAATGTTCGCTATGCTAGTTAGACCATTTATTTTCTGACTGATATACCAATAACTTTTCGTCATTATTAAAAAAAAGCATGAAATAGTCATCAAAAGATGGTTTGTCCTCCTCAAGCATTATAAATGCTATTTCAAGACCACATTCAATCAAGTATAATTTGATCCGCTTTCCAGATTTATAGGCCAAAAATTTGTTATTGTTTGATATCGCAAAATCACTTGGAATGTCAGCTATGTAATTCGTAATATTTAAATTCTCTCTTTGAAAGGAATATACTAATTGATCAGTTTTTAAATCATAAAGCTCCATGTATGGAGCACTATCTTGTGTAGTATCTACCAAATGTAGTATCTACCAAAAAATAATGTCTTCTACAAAACTCGCCGACACCTAGCTTTGAAAGATCTGTAATCTTTTTTCTATTATAATCTATAGCTTTATTTATTCTTTTCGGATATTTTAGCATACGAACCATTTGAGTCTTGTCAGGAGGTTTATCAAAGTTCCCAAAGTGATACTTATAGATTCCGGTGACATTTAAAATCACAAGAATACATCCATCAATATTTTTTATATTATCATTGTTGGAATCATCAAGTTTTTTTATATTATCATTATTGGAATCATCAATCTTTTTTATATCATCATTGTTGGAATCATCAATCTTTTTTATATTATCATTGTTGGAAAACAGTTTAACAATTCCACCATAGTCATTAACGTTAAATAGAAATGTCATCTTAATTTTTGAATAATCCATATTAATAAAGTAAACGACGACAAATCCAGGTTCGTAATTTTCACTCTTGGGTGTCATATCGCGGTCTTCACTCTTGGGTGTCATGTTGTGTTCTTCACCCTTGGGTGTCACGTTGTGTTCTTCACCCTTGGGTTGTTCTTCACCCTTGGGTGTCATGTCATGATGGCTTATACAAGATATCGCTAATAATCTAGATTTTGTTTCTGATTTAAGAATGTCTGATACGGCAATAGACCAATCCAACTTTTTTTTGGGTTCAATAAACTTCAATTGGTCTTTCGTAAATTCTGTGGTATGGATGGGGGAAAGTTTCCTGTACGACAAACTCTTGCTGTATTTCAAGTCATTTTTATTCAGTTTCTTAACATTAAATTTGAATTTCGATAATTCTGATACCGATACTGTAAATCAAATATGTAAATTTATTGATTTCTATCATGTAAATTATCGTAGTGCACTACCTCTAAGGCCATACAAAGTTAAATTTTTAGTTCTCATAATATAAAATTTGAAAAATGACCCGCAACCGGCTTTTAATTTTATTTTCAAAAAATTTTATATATAAAAAAGCATATAAAAATTTTTATAGACTTTTAAAAAAACTTCTCCCGCATAGTAAATATAGTCAAAAATTTTTTCAAGAATTTTGCGAAATTTGACCCGGCCGGGATATGAGAACCAATTTATTAAGTTTGTATGGCCTAATCTTTCTATAATAAAAGTAGTGCACAACAGTAAATCATTATTCTGTAGGAATTTTACCAAATCCGACTAATTCGACTACGAAATCGCCTTTTGGACTAATAGCAACAACTAACCTTTCTGCATTTTCTTGCATGTCGATAGTATGATCTGATCCTTTATTTGACATAGTTGATAGTGTGATGATTCCTTGATAATATTAATTGAAATTAAAAGTGAAAATAAATAGAATGTTGCAGTATTTATTTAAATGTCTATGTGGCTTAAATTTTTGAAACTGATTTTGTTTGTTTTGTCTTATTATTTACTTAAGAATGTCAAATTTTCATTTAATGTCAAATATTTATAATATTAATCAAAAACAGTGACTGGATCAACAAATATTGACCAAGTCAAACTGGTTGGCAAAGTAAAATTACTTGTGCTAATTAGTCAACGTTAAAAAGTATAATGATAATTGAATTTTTATAATTAAATACCAACCGCACTTTACAAAGTGCGTCTACGCCTCTGGGACTCGTCAACTCGTGACTCGAATAATTCTAATTGATCATTCTTCGAATCATGAAAATTTAACTCACGAGTTACTCGCGAATTAATTATGATGTTTAAATTATAATAAAAATTGTAATGATGCATAATTAATACGTACGCACGTATATAATTTTAACGTAACTATATGTAATTCATTGAAAGTTAAATACATAAATTATAAAATATTATATTTAATAAAAAATAAAATTTTCAATAACTTTTAAAGACATTTCCGTTTATACAAATATGGCGCAAAACAAAAACAATAATGAATAGGAGGAATCCTATGCTGAAAAAATTGGTCAAAAGTACTATTACAGAAAAAGCACAAAACTTGATCCAGAATTGGCGGGTTTAAAAAAAAATAAGGATTTGCTAGATATATTATTTCCAGTTGAATAATTAATATGCTACTTGCTTTCATAACTTGTAATATGTGATAATTGCATTTATAACTTGTAATTTGAATTCTATTTGTTTTGCGTAACTCGTTATTTGAATTATATTTGTTTGCATAATTCGCTATTTGAAGTATATTTGCCTTTGTAACTCTCAATTTACAAAACTTTAAATTAATTTTTTGACTCGAATTAATTGAATAAAACTTGAATAAATAATTTGATCGAATAATTCGAATACTCTTCGGAGTTTAATTCACGAGTCACGAGTTAATACGAATCCAGTCACTACATTGCTTAAAAGACCATTACTATTGCCAGCATACATGTGTACTGTATATCGAAAATAGTAAAATGAAAACGATAATTATGATGTTTAATATAAATTTCATCCTAGAAAAAGTTTTATATAATTTTTAAAGTGGTGCGAGTTTTGTAGGGCGCCAATGAATGATCAATTTCTGGATGGCAATTTCACGCTTTTCTAGAAACAGTTAACGTTGATTAAATAATTGCGATGTAGAGTGAGTTTTCAACTAAAAAAAAATACAAGACTAGAAATATGTATTAGAATTTTATTTATGTCACTATTAAATCTAATTAAATTTTTGCAATTTTATATACTCTACGCTCGTCATACTACCAAACTAGTTTAACTTATACAAGGATTAAAATTAATATTTATTATTAATATATCAGATATTAGCATTAAGGTCATTTCAAAATAATATTTAAAGGTTATAGAGCAAACAATATATGTATACGTATAACTTTTTAAAATTAAACAAGATGATCATTCTTCGTTAGTAACTGTTTTTAGTACATAGTGCATGCATAGAACTGGTACATACGTAATAGTAATCATATTTGAGGTTAAATTAGCAAAATTTTGATAATGAAAAAGTAACGTACAGTCAGACCTCTCTAAGTGCACCCTCTCTAAGTGCACACCCTCTCTAAATGCACGCTCAGATTCTGGCCCAGATATATT